TTTGAGAAAAACCTGAAAGTGGATTTCATATCCTTAGTTATTTTCCTTAGTTATTTTTGATACAACTCTTTCACACCTCCGTGTAACCCAGGATGACCTTATGTTCAAATTTAATCTAAATACTAAACCTGAAGTATATCTTACATTTTGTTTGCCATGTTTAGGTGTTTGAATTTGAAGAGCTAGCAAATAAGCTTTGTAAACCACCCAACCTGTCCTGATCTTAAATATTTGTCCATTAATTATCAGACCTTTTGTTTTACATCAAGCTCTCTAGGTAGATCTGACTTGAAGTAATGTTTTAGGCATATATTCAATATCTGCAAATCAAATATCCTTGGAAGGCAGCACTCTCTTTAATCCCATAAATGTAGTATTTGAAGTTTAGGATTAAACTGTAGCTACTGGAGAACAGTTAAACCAACGGCAACAGACTATTGAACAAAGGAAGGTATCAAAAACCAGGGGTTCAAAAATGGCAGCAGCAACTCTAGGCATGGAGAGTGTTAACCTGATAGCCACAAACTGACTCTGTTACCTTTTGTGGTGTACTCCCTGTGATGCATGGCTCTCCAGGAACCTGGAAGAAACATGTTGTGTTCTGGAAATGCCTGGCGAGTTGCAGGCCAACCGTGGAGGTTGTGCTAAAGCACTGGCAACATTTCAAACAATTATTGGCCAGTGCTGACCAATTCCAGAGGAAGAGGCAGTGTGAGTAGGATCTACAGTGATTTTCTGATGAGTGGTGTCAGACAGCTTTGAAAGTTGAAGTGCTGATCATGCAGTGAGTACAGTAGCTTGTAACTCAGCAGCTAATGAGACTCCTTTGTGCCCTCTCTTTCTTGTGGAAATGTTTTTCTTTATTTTATCAAGAAGTTATGATGTTATTTTTATAATTATAATTTCAACTTAGAAAAGTGACGTTGACTTTTATTTTTTGTTTGTAGAGCACTGTCCCACTGAAACTAACACAATCTCTAGGAAGAAGGGTAGAAGGAATGCAGAAGGATAGAAGGAATACATCTTCCTAAACTGCTGCCTGTGCAGATAGTCACGTAAAGTTTCTTTTACATCAATGGAGAGAAATAGAAGTTTTGTGTATAATTCATTTGTTCCATGTTAGCCACGTTTTGCAAGTCAAATTGTACTCAGTAGATTTGCACTTACTTTTACAGCCTGTGAAAGGAGTGAAATGAATGACATTTAAAGCTATTAGAACATTTAGGGTGAGAGCACTTCTGTCACTGAACTTACATTCTTGATTTATTTCCCTTCTGTCTATTCATTGTATACAATTCCACCAGTGTAGTATTTTAGCTCTTAAAACCTCAGATTAGTTTATCCAGATAGCATCTTTTTACCATAAGTATTGTTTCAGACAAAAACTGAGGTGTAGACTGATGGGGAAGTTGGAGATGTCTGGATCTCAGATCTAAAGCAAAAGCATATGCTGAAACTCTTAATTCCCAAATTCCCTCTTGTGCCTTAATCTAGCCTCACATAAAAACCAGAACCTCACCTGTTTTCTTTCAGTCCTTGAGATACCACATAATAAATATTACCTCACATTCAGCAGCACAGCATGGAACTGGCTAGAGAGGCTGTTACAGCTGGTGAGCTCCCTGGAGGTTTTCAGTTACTGCAGTGTCTAAGGAAGCAACAGAACCCTGCAGAGCTGTAGTGTATATATAGATATGTATTGAGCCTTGTCCTGGTTTGTGTGATAAAAGAAACCTTCTGCCACAGCATTTCCTTCTTGCAAAAGATCCTAAACATATAATAGCGAATTATATGGTCTCTATGGGATATTTTCTCCCGCTATCTAAGAAATACCAGACATTACAAACCGTAAAAATGAGCATCACACTTCTGAAGCACCCCAGGTCCTTATTCTTGCATCTTGCTTTGGATATTACCATCCAGCTATGGACTCTCTGAAAGCCCACTCCATGCACAGGCAGTGCACACAGGGCTCCCTGCTTGTAGGTTGGCTGCAGTGGCCCTTTTCCATGTCTCTCACTCCATTCACACTTTGGCGGGAAGGAAGGTAGAAAGGTGAAAGAGCCTTTGGGTATGTGTGAAAACGTGGTGCAGCACATGCAGTAGGTCTGGGTTTGAGATGGAAGGGGGACTGTACAGCACTCCTCATTTGCTAAACGTTCCTTGGCGTGTCCTAACCGAAGCAGGTTTTGCGAGGAGATGTCCGGAAGAGAGCAGGTAACAGCTTTCATCCTTCTGCCTTAACGTGAGTAGCAAAAGCAGCAGTTAGGCCTGGAGATTTCCCACTCTTCAACTCCAGATCCCACGATTCTTGTGAAGAACACATGGGGCAATACTTCTCCCATGTTGTCCCTGTTTTGACTATACCCTCCACTACTTCCACCCAGGTGGTGGAACAAGAATTCAAAGATATTTTTTTTCCTTCTTTTTTTTTAAACAGGAACAGAGGATTTTAGTATGAAGTACAGGAATTCATACATTGCATAGGATTTTTGCCAGATTTACCACTATACTTTCCATTCAGCTTTGTGTGGCAGCACACAATTCATATATCCTCACCCTGCTTTGACTTGTAGCTTGCTTAAAAATAAATTTTTTAGTATTCAAACAAATATTCAACTTCACTTTGCTCAGAGGATAACTTCATTGTGTTGCCTTGTTCCTTTCACAGCTTTTGAAGGAAATTACTGGCCAAACATTTTTCTCCAAAAACAGAAAGAATCTCTGCAAAGAAGTAAGTGCCTGACCTGGTATTTAATGTTCACATTCAACCTGTGAGTGACAACTCTATTCAACATCAATTCTATATTGCAGAAGGCACTGTACAAAACACATAATAAAAATCAGTCTTTGCCTCAAGGAGCATACGTTTTGAAGCATTAGTTTTGGAAATTCTGAATGAAGACTTTGCATATAAAGAGATGGTAAAATGTGTTGTCTCACTTGTAAGTTTTAAAGTAAATGGAAAGGGCTTTAGTGTGCCATGCTGAGGTTTTGACACATAAGGATAGAAACTGTGAGCAATTTAGTAGCCTTCCACATTTAGAAGTTTGCTGTTGGGGTCATTTGTGTGAAAAGTTTGATTTTCATTCCTACTTATTACTGCTTAATACTACCTAAAAATTTAGGACATGGATTCTTTTGATATTGTAAAATCCAGGAAATGAAATAAAGCTCATTTTCCATATGGATTAGATCTATGAAAATGATATTTAAAGATTTCAGGTTAAAGCAAATTTATATGCAAATGAACAATCAGAGTATGGAATACTTCTTTGTCATCTTTACAGCCAGCTGTAAAGTGCCAGCGGGGGTGAGGGTATGGACAGATCTCTGCTTCAACACTGAGCTGTAGCTACTGCTGCCACAATTCTGGTAGTTTACCAGTGGTTTTCTCTTAACTCCAAAGAATGGCTTGTGTGCATGCATCCAAACCTGTACACAAAATTAACTCCAGCCACCTACTTACTGTGAATTTGTGCTAGTCCTTCTGAATCTGAGAAATACAAATAGTAAGATACTACTACCTTAACCTGTGTAAAAATGTCTTCAGTGCTAAAACACAGGATAATTAGTACATTATAGTTTTAAAGTACTAAAGATGTTAGCTATCAGAAGTACTGTTAAGAAGGCAGATATCATTAAAATGTTAACTCATAATTAAAATGGTGAATTTTGACAGCAGTGATTGTGGCATTTTCTGCTACAAAGAAATTTTGGTTCTGTTCAAAAGGAGGCTGGAACACATACTTGGAAACCAGAGCTCAAGGGAGGGGTAAAGCAGAAAAATCCCAACAGCCTCACAAAATTCTCTGAACTGAAAATAGTTGGAGGCTGAGAGAGTATCTGTGGAAATATATATGCTTGACTTAATGGTAATCTTCCCTTGGGCAGTCTGCTAACGATCACTGCTGGAAATCAAACACAGAGCTGCATCAGCCCTTGGTCAGAACCAGTACAACTTTTTCCATGTCCTTTTCTGAAGAAATGTGAGACACTGACTTCTAAATTTAAGCTTCATTAAACAAATATTTAGTTTTCTATGTCCATGACCAGAAAGAATAAATGTCATCATGCTGTCTTGATATACTATATTTTGCATGATATGATGTTCCTCTGCTAAGAAGGGACACAGAAAGTATAAACATGACATTTTCACAAGATGAGTTTTAAATAAGTATGGATATCAGTCCTAGTATTCTGAACATTGTTTCTATCATATTCTATTTACAGAAAATCTTCCTGGTAATATTTTATGTTTGGCATTAAAATGCCATGCTTTACTTCTACGTACTGTTAAAAAGCAACTCTTGTGTACTCCAAAACTTGTTGCATATCAGTGGTTGGCAATGAAATGATTTTAGTTAGTCTGGGGAACATGCAGAGTTGTAAAACAAAACCAATTATTTAAAATGCAAATTTATTATAATGAAAAGCATTTCTTTAGACAGAATAAGCTGAGAGTGGCTTGAATTAGGTGAATTCTCAATCAGCATAAGCATGGAAATCCACATGAAATTCATCCTAAAAGTAAAAATAGTTGAAGGCTTGTGATCAGACAAAAAAATCCCAAATATTCAGGAACTCATCTCTGTCTGCTGTCTGTTCTTACAGCAAGAGGAACAGCAGAACACGGGTATGACAAATTAAAAGAAAATTCCATTATATGAATTAATAAGAGAACTGAACACAAAAGGCAAACATATAATCTAGTTTTAAACTTCCTTGAGTTATCGACACTCCCATTTGTTATTTTTCTTTGATAAGATTTAAATAAAAAAATGCACTGAACACGCTTCTGTATTTAAAGAAAGGGGCACCTATTGCACTCTGACTGTTGTGCAACCCCAGATAATCTCTCTTTGGCACACTCTGGGGTTTGGTGGCCAGTATCACTTAAACACAATAGAATAAACCAGCTGGACTTGGGCATGAAGGACCAATGATAACAATTAGATGATTCCTATTTTCCAGTCAGACCTTCAGAACAGAACAGAAGTATGGAAGAGGAATACTTTTTGCCAACAGGTAACATTGGGAAACAGTATTTTCTACATGACCTGGATGAAACCAGTAGCACTCTGTAATAATTTGATCACTCCTTTGTAGTTACAAAAAAAAAAAAACCTCTTTTGGCTTTAAAACAATGAATATAAGTTGCAGGTAGACCTTGCTAAATTTAGCTGATACTTTATGGCTCTGAGATATATTCTAAAATACCTGACACCATAAGCAAAAATAAATAAAAAATGAAAATTAACAATCTGAGTCTGAAAATATAAAACCAAGGACGTGATTTTACTTACTTCAGTAGAACCATCAGCTTCAAAGGGACTGTTCAAATGTTGTAAGTAGGTACAGAACTTTTTACAACAAGCGCTGGAGTTGTATCTCTTTTTTGTAGGATTCATTTCCACCTCCAAAAATCTGTCTATTCCAGTGAAAAGTTCAGATTACTTCTTAAAAATGAAAACTGATTAAAATCTTCATTGTATTTATAAAGCTGGTTGAAAGTTTGTCACACAAATACAGAGCCAAAAAAGTGGGGATTGACAATTTGGACATCTAATGATTGACTGTGGAATTATTCATGATACAGTAAAGCCATAGGTAGTTTGGTAAATGCTGTGTCTGAGATATTAAAAGTCTCTCGAATAGCAAGCTGTCACCTTTGCAAATAAATCAAACAGTCTGAAATAAGAAGGTAAATCTTTATATTACTCATGAAGGAGATGGAATAGTTTTTCCCAAGCTAGGAAGCTGGGGAACTCTCTTCTATTTACAGTAAGTAATAATATTGCTCTCACTCTGCATATTGTTTCAACTTCCAGACTTGAGATAAAATTCTGAGCTTACCAAAAAAAAAAAAAAGAAAAAGAGGACTAGGATGTTGTTTACAGAATTAATCTGAGTAGAAACTTAATAGCTTTTCCTACTATGTTTATTTGAAATGCCAGTCAGAATGGGCAAATATGCTTTTAGGAGACCTAAATCTGGGTTTTCTTTCTCTTTTATAGTTTTGAGCAAGGATTCCTGTTCTACATGGGGTGGAGGGCATTTTTCAACCTTTGATAAATACCAGTATGACTTCACTGGGACTTGCAACTATATCTTTGCAACCGTATGTGATGAAACCAGCCCGGACTTCAACATTCAGTTCCGCCGTGGGATGGACAAAAAAATCGCAAGGATCATTATTGAGCTTGGACCTTCTGTTGTCATTGTTGAGAAAGGCAGCATTTCTGTCAGGAGCGTTGGGTAAGATTCTGGGATGAAAAGGAAAAAAGTGTTTAGAGAAGGCAAGGAATTATATAGCAGTTACAGTAGATGACTATTTTGTTTTAAAAATTAATTAACAAATCACTGAAGTTAACAAGATGAGTTTAATTGGACTCTGTTCCTGTTGCTTCCCATCAAGTACTCACACTCTCTAGATGAGTATTGCATTTGCAGTTACTTGAATCAAGCTCAGAGTACATTTGTGTAGGCAAAGGGATAAACTAATCTCCTCAGATCAAAACAGTTCTCAAACTGTAACTACAGTTTCCTAGATACTACCAATCTGCTTATCCTTATCTCTACTACAAGCCCAGATGAAACAGCTTATACCCCTCAGTAGATACGAGTTGAAATCCCTGTGTTTAGAGTTCATTTGACTGAAATAACTCTGAACATTCTGTGCTAAAGGTAACACATACGTAGGTATAAGAGAAACTTTGAACTCTGCAACCAACAGAGAAATACTGGATATGTTCATTCCTCTAGACAAATTGCTCCCATACAGGGAATTTCTCTGGGGAAATTTTCAGCGTTCTTATCAGATAGGCATTGTTGAATTTTTATCTCTGAGTAGGTGCAGATAGAGGAAATAATTGACTGTGGATTTTCTGTGTCTTATTATACTTACCTAGCCACAGTAGCTATCACAAGAAAAATACAATTTGCACTATACCTTAATTTAGCAAACTGCATTTAGAAAAACTTCCTTTTTTAGTTTGTTTTCCAGAAAAAACTATATCTGTGGGCCTATTCCAGTGATCTGCATTTTAAATTTTTGACCCACAGTCACAAGAACCAAATGCCATGAGCTGGTGTAATGTTGCACATAGCCATGCTTCAGGTGGAAGGCTGGTTTGGATTTTGAGCCCCTTCCCGTGATTGTACCAGTGAGCACTTAGCAAAATGTATTTCTTCTTTAATGTTGTTAGTTTGTAGCATTAAAATTGCTCTGCAAGGATGAAAACCTAATTCTGCTACAACATTTACATTATTTGTTTCTTGAATCTTGTCAGTTTTCAGTCACAGCAGTAATTCCTATATTAACAGTCTGTAGTACATTGAGTCTCTTCAGGATAATTAACAATAGTTGTACCACAAAAAGTTTATTGTTAGAAGTTCTTGAAAAATACAACTGTACCCTGATAAAAACAAACCAAGTGAAGAAGCTAAGTCCTGTGCAAACATTTTCACTAGTATAATCCCTATGCAACCATCTTCTGGTGATTCTTCTATGAAACTTCTGGCATAGATTTTCAATCAACAGAAATTTTAACGTATCTTAAAATGTCACAACTACAAAGGAAAAAATTCTATTTCATATTGCTGCAAGTACTCAGACTGTATGTGTTTCATATTAAAAAAATCACCAAACTAATGCCTGCATATTATTGATATGAGAGGGTCAGTTTGTCTTCTTCCCTTATTACAGAATTATTCAGTTGCCTTACACTAGCAATGGCATTCAAATAGCTCCTTATGGACACAACATCCGCCTGGTCGCCAAGCTGATGGAGATGGAACTAGTTGTCATGTGGAACAATGATGACTATCTCATGGTTAGTAAAATGTTCTCATAAAGCAGAAAAGAAAATCCTCACTTTATTTACTGGAATGACAAGAACTCTTTAGACTTACTGGGTACTTTTGCATGTATTTACTATTTGAATAATTATTCTTCTCCTGTTTCATCTGTTCCTCTTGAAAAAAACAACTTTTCATTTTATGCTTGCACGTTCCTTTCACTTGCAGCATTGGTAGCTAACTAAAGCCACCAGTGTGGAGAATTGTGGACACTTTCACACATTTTAATCTTTCCTCAGGGTATTCCAGCAGCTGCAATGTTTTACTATTGTTTAAAGTTGTGTAGAAGTTAATAGTGTACAGCCATAGTTTAGTCATTTCTACTGTGCTTTCACAGGACATCTTTTGGTTTCAAACATACAGTACTTCTACCAGTTTCTTTGTTTCTTTCTTTTTTTTTGAATATTTTCAGGTTTTCCCTCCAAAATCCCCAATACATTTTCTCAGTGTGACCTGTGATATTGCCACAAAAGACACTGAAATCTAAACTGATGTTTGCTAAAACAGAGAGAATGATATGTAATAAATTTTCTGGAGGATTTATCAGCATTACTATAACACATATAAGAAGAAAGGCTACTGTGATGGGTACAAACCATATCCTTTGTCTAGTCAGGTTATTTCTTGCGACCTGAGATTTTCACAATAATTAATTGACTGTAACCATTAGTAATACTACCACTTTAGTCTCCAGAGCAATAGATAATTGAATAATCTTTTTCTGAAAACAGATTTTCTTCCTGTAACCTTCAATTTCTTAAGAGAAGAAACCTGAAATTCATGCTCTGTCATCAAAGATACGAGCAAGGATACAGCATTATTTCCTTTTTTTACTTTATTTTCTGATTCCTTAAAATATTATACCCCCTCCTTAATTCTCTGGAAGCATCTTCAAATCTTATACTTTCATTAAATAAATAAATAGATCAATCAATCAATCAATCACTATTTGCCTATTGGGAAAAGGCATTGCTACTTACAGAACTTTTCCTCCAAACAAGTCATTGAAATTAATGAACAGAATTACCTTGTGTCCTTGAACTGAATTTGTTTGAGTAAGTTAATGCTGTATAGATAATTTCACTCAGGGTGATCCTTTTAAATGTTTCATTCCCTTTTAATTTAGGTTTTGGCTGAAAAAAAATACATGGGCAAAGTCTGTGGAATGTGTGGAAATTATGATGGTTATGAATTGAATGAATTTGTTCGTGAAGGTAAGACACAAGGACATTTCACGTGGAAGGAAAACTACTTAAAGTGAGTCAAGGTGAAAGATTAATACTGAAATAGCTTTGCTCTGACTGCTTACTCAGTTTCAGAACTGAGTAAAGCAGTTCCAGAGGTTACCAACATGCATGATTATGATACATATTATCTGCTATATTATCTATGAGCATAATATTGTGGGTTCCACAGACAAGTGATAAGAACTCTCTTATATTTTAGAAGCAGGTGGTAAGGGTCACACTCTCCCAAATTTCACAAAGACTGAGCAAGGCACAGTGATGGAAATAATTACTGTAGGCAGAAGCAAGGCAATGATGAGAAGAATACAGTGGACAAGAACATTAACAAGCATTGTGTCCCAATAATTGTAGATCTTTATAACAAAGTGGTGCTGAGGAAATGACAACTCCACTGTGTCTGGTTTAGGGGGTTCACTTTTGAATCACTCTAAATCTGGTCTGTTGATCTATTGCCCATTAGTAGTTGGAGCTTGTTACTCAAGCTCTTGGAATGTATCTTCCATCTTGGTTTAATCTTAAAGTGACTCCATATGGCAAGACCACTCCACAACAGAAAAAACCCAAAAGGGGATGTTTGGAATATTTGCTTTAAAAGCACACTGCTAATCTGAACTGTAGTGCTAGTGTGGAGACATTGAATTGCACAGTAAACTAACCTTAGATCAACACAGACAGATGCAATTTTTCATACACGTCACAGAAATGAGTTCTAAAAATTATGTAATAATTTTTGGGTTGTGATGAGTTTAACCCCGTATATAGGGGAAGATATAAGAATGGGGGATAAGGAGAAGAGGTGTGAATTAACAGCTGGAAAAAGATAACACAGCTGGCAGAAAAGCAGTAGCAGCATGTAAGGTAGCAGATGTAATAGATTGGGAAATAACTTGAAGAAATGATCATGATAATAAAAGTATGCTCTATTTAATAGGCTCCAGGTAAAGGGCAAAAGAGGCAGTTTTTGTCATCGGGAAAATTTGTAGAACATTTCACAGTCAAAGAGTAGACTTTGAGTTTTGCTACATCACAGCAACAAGTAAACAAATGAATGTGGGCTGTTTCCTGACAAATTATAACCCTTCAATTTACAGGTAAATTGCTGGATACATACAAATTTGCTGCATTACAAAAAATGGATGATCCATCAGAGATCTGTCTGTCTGAGGAGATACCGATTTCCACTGTTCCTCACAAAAAATATGTAAGAAAGATCTTGGCTTCTCTGTAGTGTGATTCTTAACAGAGGGGGAAAGATAGGTAGAAAATCAACAACAGAGAGGCAATGGTTTCATAAAACTGACTTTCATGAAAAAAGCTTAAAGTCAACGTTTGTGTAGCCTGATACGAGAAAGGCAGTGAGTTCTTTGCATTGAAATACATTTTAATAAAAGCCCATGGGCATTTTTGAGGCTGGATTTATATCACTCATAAAAACCAACCGTCATTTAGCTCACACCTTTCTGAAGTTTCATCCAGGTCATCATAGGAAATTCAGGGAAACCAGTGAAGCTTTAATAACTTTTTAGAGACCTGACATTATAAGATGTACAGACTTGAAGACATTCAAGTCATGCCTAAAACACGTCGTCAGATAACAGCACTGATAACAGGGACAACCACTATTAACTGCTATCACTTACAGTTCTAGATGAAAACAAAATCAACGTGCCTGAGAGTCTTCAAGACCTTATACTGCAGTAGCCAATGTGACAGGGAACAATTTTCTTTCTCTTTTTATTTAGGCCCTGATCTGCTCTCAACTGCTTAATTTGGTGTCATCAACCTGCAGCGTGCCAAAGGATGGGTTTGTCACTCGTTGCCAGCTGGATATGCAGGACTGCAGTGAGCCAGGACAAAACAGCTGTGCTTGCTCTACACTGTCAGAATATTCAAGGCAATGTGCTATGTCCCACCAAATGGTGTTCAACTGGAGAACTGAAAACTTCTGTTGTAAGTTCAAGTGGTTTATTTGTGCGAGGCTGTACTCAACTTTTCTGTGTCTTAAATACAGGGATAATGATAAATAACTGGAATATAAAACAACTGATAAAAAGGTCTCTACTGTCTTGAATCAAACGTATTTTCTTAGGAGAACAACAGTGGTCTTTGATAAAATAGTAATAAGGAGTGCAAGGAAACCTCAAAGGAGAAGAGGGAAGCTTGAAACGTAGCTCTTATGTCTAAATCAGTGACAGTAAAACAGAGGAACATCCACCAAGTGAACACTGTTTAATTTCTCCAACTTGCAGCAGGAGGCTGTTCTCTTTAAAAATTTTAACACTTCCTCTGTTTGTTGCAGCTGTGGGAAAATGTTCTGCGAACCAAATCTATGAGGAATGTGGTTCTCCATGTATTAAAACCTGTTCCAACCCAGAGTACAGCTGTTCCAGTCACTGTACCTACGGTTGCTTTTGTCCAGAAGGTATCATTTCATCATATTCTAAATGAAAGACACAAATATTTTTTGCATATATCCACTCAAGTGGAATGGACTGCTTAATAATGAACTAGCCATGCATTTCGGGGCATTGTGCTGCTAGAACTGCTACTTCTCATGTAACATAATATAACTGGAGTCTTGATTAATTACGGTCCTTAAAGATGCTTGGTCACTATGTGCAAGAACAGAGCTGTGAAATCATTTTCCTCACAAAACCATGATTTGTTATGGGATAATGATGTGCTGCCTGATCAGAGTTCTCTACTATATTATACACTGAGTAAGCTTAATTAATCTCCTATCCCAAATGGGTATCTAGCCCTTAAAGGTATCAGCAAGAGGTAGCACACCTCAGATGATTTCTGCAATATTTTGGGAATTGTGTAAGTTCCCCTTAAAATAGATCAAGATGAACTTCCTTCAAATATTGTAATTATTACTGTCATGTGCATTGTTTCTTGAAATTTTAGAACTGAAATATCCTCCAGTGTGGGCATTTACATCAATATCATCACCAATTTATAGTAGTCAAAAGTAATGTATTGTGAGTTACATATTTAAAACTAGACTTGGTACTCTAGGAAATATACTGTTTTTGTTCTTCAAAATTCCCAAGTTAATTTAGAGTGTCATAGGAAAAAAAAAAGGAAAACATAAAAATAATATTCTAGCTTACAGTTATTTCAAATTAAGTTCAAATTTCAAAATAAGACAATTGTCTGCACTTTCATACTAGAAAGCAGCCAAAAACCGTGAAGAGTCAATTTTATTGTAATTAAGATAAATGTTCCTGTATATTGTCTATTTAAGTATGGGCACTGGACTGTGGAAGAACAGCACACTCAAGCTGATCTCAGAAAGCACTCAAGCTTTAGTGCTAAGTAAGGATGTGGAAAAGTATTTTGTTTGTCCTTGGCAGGAACTGTTCTGGATGATATCTCCAAGAACCGAACATGTGTTCACATTAGCCAGTGTCCGTGTACACTGAATGGGAAAACATACGCTCCTGGGGAGACAATGAAAGCAACGTGTAGGACCTGGTGAGTAGCAACGGGCACTTTTATGAGAGATCACCAAGTTATTGGAAAATTTAGCCTAACTTTTCAGAGGGCAGCTGCAAATGTGTCGTACCATCTCTGAGGCCACCTTCCTTCAGTGCCACATATTGTACATTTGTGATTGAAGAGGGACATGTCTCGTTTTGTGATTGATCTGTACAAATAAAAATACTCCTTCAGACCATACAAAACAGTAGTATTTATATCTCCTCTTTGAAAGTCCAGGTGAACTTAGTACGAAACAAATATCCAATGTTTACGATTTCTCTTTGGAAATCTTGGTGTTTCTGATCACCTGATCAGTGCTCAAAACTAAATTTCTGTTTTGCAACAGAAAATAATAAGAGAATATTTTTTAAAAGTTGAATCAATTTTTTTGGTGTCATGTGTCTTGTTATCATAATTCTAATACAGAATTTAAAGGAAAAATAATGGGATTTGATCCTCAGAAATGCAACAATGAACACACTTTTCATAATTTGGGAATATTTACAACAATCCATACCAGAGTTCAACACTCTGAATTGAGATGAACATCTTCAACTGATACACATAGATAAAGAAAATCAAAACATAGAAAGTGTAAGGGGAAAAGTGGTACAAATGACTTATTCCATTACTAGGAAGTAGCTGAGTTTTTAGGTCTAAAGAAGATTCCAAAGTACTGAAAATGAAAGTTCAGAATGTATATGTATGTTACTCTGTCTTCACTAACCAATTTTGCATGTTGGTCAGCTACAGAGAAACCTCCAGACAGGAGGATATCAAATCCTCAGCTGATAAACAGAACCTTAGTATGAGAATAACCTTACACAGAATTTCTTGTTTTCCACAGTAAATGTATGATGGGCCAGTGGAACTGCAAAGATTTGCCCTGTCCTGGAAGGTGTTCACTGGAAGGAGGCTCCTTTGTTACCACATTTGATTCTAGGTCATATAGATTCCATGGGGTTTGCACTTACATTCTCATGAAGGTAACTTCCTGCAGTTTAAAACCACCAAATATCAAATGGATGTATCTTAGTCTGTCTTCGGTTTCCTATGGAAACACAAACTGAGGTCTTCCTAAGATATACATTGATTCTACAAATCAGCATTATTCTGACTTCAGGCTTCCCTTTTCACTGTTTCCCTCCAGAGTTCCAGCCTGCCACACAATGGAACCCTAATGGCTGTGTATGAAAAGACTGGTTATTCTCATTCTGAGACGTCACTTAGTGCTATAATTTACCTATCCTCAAAGGTAGGTATTCCCTCCACAGGTTCCATCCAGCATTTCAGTAACCAGATAAGCAAAATAGGTTCCTGAAGTCATTGCTAGTAGCCTGAACTGGAAAATTATGGGGAATAGATACTCAAGATACGTTCCTGCTCATGCACACACAGCAAAGATCTCAGTTACTACATCAGCTCAGGAAGTTAGAGTATTTTCAAAGTGAAAAGTAAAAGCAGTACATAATAATATGTGACAAAATGCTTGAATCAGTTTTTTCCTGTTAATTGACAATATAGTTGTTTATGTTAACATATAAATACCATCAATACAGATAATTACATCTGCTTCCATGTCCTCTTCTTACAGGACAAAATTGTGATTTCTCAGAATGATCCCCTCACAGATGATGATGAACTTAAGCGGCTGCCTTACAGATCAGGTAAAAAAAAGGGAATGTAAGTTATTCCCAAATTTCATTAAATGTCTGTTTTATACAATCCAGCATCCTTTGCAATTTTCAATTGCTGATACCAGAGGTTTTAGAGGAAGGTTGAAGTCTTTCCCATTGGCTCTGTTCCTCTGTGGAGAGTTGTGCGTGAGAGAAGGGTTGTTGACAGGATGCTAGAACACTTATATATGCACTAAAATCATTACCTTGGAATATCACCAAAATACCTATTTCTAAATGTCCTTGTTCTTTTAGGAGACATCACTGTTTTCAGACAGTCCTCAATGTACATTCAAATGCATACAACCTTCGGGCTGGAACTTTTAGTTCAAACATCACCTGTGTTCCAGGCCTATGTGAAAGCTGGATCACAATTCAAAGGCAGAACTCTAGGTGAGTAATCTAGTCACTGTGTAAAGGAGAAAATGTAGGAAGTATAATTTTGAAAACTTAGTACTTGTCCTTTAAGAAATAAGTTTTCTTCTCTGGATTTGAAATAAAAACACCTGCATTGGAAATCCAATGTGCCAAGAATTTTTTTTATTTTATTTTATTTTTGCTAATAACTTTAAAACAAATTAAAGAAACTAAAAGGGCCACATTTTTCATGCGTAATATGAGATACTGTTCTTTACATGTTTTATGTGTGCCTTTTTCAATATGTGTTTTGCTACACAGTGAAGGAGCAACAAATAAGTCTGTGTGGTCTCTATATCTTGGAGCACATGGTTCTTTGAATGTAGTTGACTATCACTGTAAACACAATGAGCCTAAGAACCTAAAAGCTTCTCAGCAGATAGGCACCAGATGGAGAAGTTTATGTTTATTGCACAGTGCCATTAGCCACACAGGCATATTTTGCATTCTGATTATGGGGAATTACAGAGAGGCTTTAGCTTTTAGGGAAGTCTAAATGCGTATTCTTTGTCATTACGGGTTTTACATGCGTAAGAAAACATGCAGTTGTAAAAGTGTTTCATGGCCTTTCTCTTTTATATCATTTAAAACTGCTTGTTTCTAAAAACAAGACAAAAACGTCTTTATGAATTTGTCATTGAATAGAAGTTGACACTCTTAACTTGAGAAGGCAGAGAATCAGTGACTGAATGTGTACATAATCAAGATTTTCTGGGTACTTGACCTATAGTATTCATTGACACTCTGCTAGAGCTTTTGAATCAACTATATCACTATTACAGAATTAAATATAGGCCACTGTGTACACTTTCTTTAATCATAATCCATCCTTTGCATTTCTAATGTTATTAGGTTTATGTGGCAATTACAATGGAGACACTACAGATGACTTCATGACTAGCATGGATATCACTGAAGGGACAGCCTCCCTGTTTGTAGATTCCTGGAGGGCAGGAAACTGCCATCCTGCTTTGGAGAGAGATACTGATCCTTGTGCTTTGAGTCAACTAAACAGTAAGTAGATGATCCTGTTGTAACTGATCTCTCCAGCTGTCTTTGTCTGACACTTCCATAAGCTCATACCAGGGAAATGAGAGAGTTTGATTGAAACAGAAACTGAGACAATTGAACATCACAAACTTCGTCACCAGCGAGACATTTCTGACTTCTAGAATTCATATCTAGTGAAAATTTATCAGATTCCATTCTAGAGATCTGGGATTGAGATGATAAATGAGAATGAGAGGGTTTTGATGATCTATCCAGTAAAATTGCAATGTCCATGGACATCTTAGGCTCGCTCTAAAGTACTGTGACTGAAATCCAGACTTTCCTTTCCCAAGTTGCTATTACTATTGGTCATTAAAAAAAAAAAAAAAAAAAAAAAAAAAATTAAAAAAGGCCTACTGAGCTGTTTGTACAAAAACAGAGTATGGAAGCTCACAAGTTAAGAAGTTGTCCTGTTGTTCAACCCGTCATTGCCAAAAGTTCACCTGGACTAATGCATAAATTTTTTTTCTTTTTTTTTTTTTTCCCCTTTTTTTCCCTAACTTTCTATTTTTAATGTCTGTGATTTACTTTCATCAGAAATATCTGCTGAGACTCATTGCTCCATTCTTACCAAGAAGGGTACGGTGTTCGAGAAATGCCATGCTGTGGTCAACCCTATTCCTTTCTACAAGGTAGGAAATTATGACAGACATTGTACAGAGGGAGTCCAAATACAAACCAGATTGTACTCATAGACAGTATCCCACACATTGAATCGGCAGTGCATAAGAGCCAAGGAGCAGGTGTGGCTTTGAAAATTATGTCTCCTCCACACTGAAAGTCTGTTTGTTCACAGGCACCAGTCCCATCCCTATGAATCAGAAGGTATTTTTGCTCATATGGCAGTTGTCCATGGCAACTTTAGCTATTGAAAGTATTGATTTTACCATGGGCATAATTGAGCTCATTTTATTTGCCAATCTACACAAAACATTTTGAAAATTAAAAATGAGAATAAACAAAGCAAGTAAACAAAGGCATTTTTTAGGTATTATGTATATTTTATTTACATCAGCAAAGCAATTACTCAGATATTTTCCATCAGTTTTAGTTATGCAATACTGTGTATTTTATCTGAGTTAGCTCTGCATTTCAGCATAGAATCACAGAAGCTGGAAAAGATCTTTGAGGTCCTTGAGTCCCACTGTAAACATAACACTACCAAATCCATCACTAAACCATGTCCCTAAGTGCCACATCCACACGTCTTTTAAGTACCTCCAGGGTTTAGCACTACCAGATGTCTGCTCCCCAGTAACAAAGTATTCTCCATGTATTGGGTTTCAGAGATGTGTCTACCAGGCCTGTAACTATGAAGAGACCTTTCCTTACATTTGTTCTGCTCTGGGATCATATGCACGAGCGTGCAGTTCAATGGGTTTAATCCTTGAGAACTGGAGAAGCAGTATGGACAACTGTAGTAAGTAACTGAACCAGCTCTTAAGGGTCTGCCATCAGATGAATGCATGCATACAGGTCTGCCTGTTTCCGTTTAGAACATTCCTGTCTTTGATTCACCTGAGACAAAATTGAGTAAGAACAAGAAAGTATTTTAAAACAACTTGTCAGTGTTCAGAAAAAGAACTACATATTGCTCAAGTAGGTCAACCAGTCTATGGTATAAAATGGTATAAAAACCGTTTTACCCAGGAGCTGCTGGCATCACAGATGTGTCAAAACATAACAAACCCCAAAAATTGCAATGCAATATTTGAAACAGCGTCCAAATCATCTTAAGAGTAATGAGGAAAATAGTGAACAGAAAGAAGAGAAAAGCAGAAATGGGATAAGAGATACCCAACTTTTGAATATCCTTCTAGTCTCTTTCAGAGAAGGATTGTGATTTTAGACTATATGAAGAAGATTATTCATATGCTTTAAGGTGTGTATGTGGATGCTTCCAGGACTTGATAATTAAGTGATGGAATAGACAGATTAAATAAAGTTATACTGTACTGTAAAATGAGAAGGAACTAGGAAAAACTCTGGGTGCAGATTTGATTTTGTTTTTATGCAACTTACTTAGGTACAGGTTTCACAGTTACTCAACAATACATTGATATTTCTGCAAAGCTTCTCTTTGCATTATTTTATTCCAAGATAAACAAAGAAGCAGATACATAGTTAACTTTCATGAAACTTCCAAACAACTAAACCTTCATGAAACTGCAAAACAGCCACATGGTTGGTGTTAAGCACTGGTCTGCAACACCTTTTGCTAGAGCTCCATATCTATAGGAAGAGAAGCTGCTGGAAGCATTAAGCATTGAAGCTGTTGACACAAAATAAGCAGCACATGATGAGCACAGTTACCTTTCACAAGGAAGAGGATCAGTCAATAAAGTTTAACATACACTCTTATTTTACAGCCATTACCTGCACTGGCAATCAAACATTCAGCTACAACACTCAGGCATGTGACAGGACATGCTTGTCACTCTCCAACCGAGCCCTGGAATGCCATTCAACTGATATTCCTATTGAAGGCTGCCAGTGTCCTAAAGGACTGTACTTGAACCACAAGAACGAGTGTGTTCGTAAATCTCATTGTCCATGCTATTTAGAAGATAGAAAATACATCCTGCCTGACCAGTCAACAATAACTGGTGGGATCACCTGGTAAGTGTGTCAAGTTTAAAGCTTAACAAACTGAAAATGGAGGTGAGGGGTCTTCACGTGTCTCTGCTGAGGGTTAAGGTCAGTAAGCAGCTAAGCACCAGACAGCTGCACACTCACTGCAGCCAGATATGGAAAAGAATCAGAAAGGAAAAATCAAGAAAGTTTGTGGGTTGAGATATAGACAGTTTAATACATTTCTTTATTATTAAAATGCAAAAAAGCTTATTAAATAAAGTGAAGACAATGTGCAATCAAAGCTAAGTAAGAAATTAGTTCAGGACTTCCCCTCAGCAGGCAGCTGCTTAGACATTTCCAGGAAAGCATGAATCTGTCATCCATAATGCTTTCTTGGGAAGACAAGTGCTGGATCTCCAAACATCCTTTCTTCCTCCTTCTTTACCTGAGCTTTTATTGCTAAGCTTGATGTAGTATAGTATGGAATATCTCTTTGGTCAGTTTGGGTCAGCTGTTCTGGCTGTGTCCCCTCCCAGCTGCTTTTGCACTCTGAACTTCCTCCCTGGTGGAGCAGAGAATGCTGTGACACTGTTCAGCAATAGCTAGAACAGCACTGTGTTATCAACACTGTTTTGGTCACAAATCCAAAATATAGCACTGTTGATCTGCTACAAAGAAAATTAACTCCATTCCAGCCCAAACCAGTATAGACTGCTTTATTTTTAATAGGAAAAATTTATTTTTCAAGACATCTCTTTTGCTTTTCCCTAAACCACAAATATCCTTAGATGAACGAAAAGCATTTTACTTACTTTAAGCTTGGAAATGTTACAGAGAAAAATAGAAAATATTAGGTTAGGTTTGATTATTCTTAGTACAAGATTTTGTCAACAGCACTTGAACAGCTATATACAAACTTCAAGAATGACTTGATGAACCATCATAATAGTGATGATTGCCTACAGGTGATAATAATGATAATAACCTACCATACACTTCCAAAACTAATGTTATTGTGTAATACAAAAAGTAAAGAGAAAGTTGTCTCACGTTGCATTTCAAAGGATGGGAAGGAGCTAGTAACATAAATATTTCTCATAAAGTCATTTTGCAAATATATAAATTATATATAAAAAATATCTTTCTCAAGAGAGATTTGCATTGAATTATTTTTTTCTCCCTAGCTACTGTGTTAATGGAAGGCTGAGTTGCACAGGCAAACCTCAAAATCCTGCAGGTATGGGTCTGATACGGTTTACTTAGAAACATGTTTTTTTCCCCTATGTTGTAAAATTACTACTTCACGATCTTTTCAATGTTTGTTTTTGTTCCTTTTCCTTAGAAAGCTGCAAAGCTCCTAAGAAATACATATCGTGTTCTGACAGTTTAGAAAACAAGTACGGAGCTGCATGTGCCCCTACCTGTCAGATGCTGGCTACTGGAATTGAATGTGTGAGTTTCACAGAGCTGGGATGTTTATCCTCTTGAGAGAGGTAGAATGTTCTAGTTGTTGCTTAGAACCTTATTACATTCTCTCTAATGAAATAAGAGGAGATATTTCATCAAGCATGAGACAGTTAAACATCAGGCTTCTTTCCCCAGACTGCAGACACAAAAAAATGTACATATATTTAAGAAGTGATTAAAGGAATTACATTGCATGAATTAATGAATCAAACTATATTAAATGAATAGAATAAAAGTCCATTAAGGATTCTTAATTACATGGCTATCACCTCTGACTCAGGTACTCCATAAGCTGCATGTTATGTTTCCTTTTCTATTTTTGCTCAACTCTCTGCTGCTGCCAGTCACAGAATGCAAGAGACCTGGGCTAGGGGAATGTCTGGGCTGTCCTGATAGGGTTTTCTTATAATTTTATGTTAAACAAGCAGACTAATTGGAAGAATTGTAATAAGCTTCCTTGATGCAAAGAAACTTCTCTTTGTACGCTTTCTGAAAAAAGATTGGTAGTAAAGGAAGATCAATTTTTAGGTCTTTAGGTTTAATATCCCACACCACAACTATATCTTACAACTTCAGTGGAACTGCTTCATTTGACTAGCACATTAGTACAAGGAACATCACAAAACTAAGATCAAGTCAAAACAGATTTTAGCACAGGTTCACTCTTGACACCATTCATGTCCAGGGTAAAATACGTCTCACGATTCTTTTCATTTTGCAATCTGTTGACCTTTACCAGATACCGACTAAATGTGAATCAGGCTGTGTCTGTGCTGATGGCCTGTATGAAAATCTCGATGGCGAATGTGTCCCAGCTGAGGAGTGTCCATGTGAATATGGTGGCCTTTCTTATGGAAGAGGTGAACAAATCCAAACTGAATGTGAGATCTGGTAAGAATCACGTACTTTCTCATTGCAGAACCTCTATCTCGCTAAACTGTATAACCACATAAAAAGAAGAGTTTAGTTGACAGGAGAGTAGGAAATGGCAACAGCTGAATGGAAGAAACACCATGGCAAAGTACAGGGATTAACACAGAGAAAATCTTAACATTTGTATAACATATGTATAGATAAAAGGGTCAGCTTCAGGGTATATTTCTGCCAGCTTCAGGGATAATTTCTGCCTTATACATATTCAGGAATAAGGGCATCCAGTAGGTCCTGTAACTGTAAACTATATAAAGTCAATGATTATTCACAACTCCACATAAATAAATATGAGGGCACAGTTTTTCTTCTTTTCTGTAGATAAAAGCAAATTCCCCCTCAGATATTGTTTCCATCTCCTACTAATCTAGCATTAAAAAAACCACCCCACCCCCAAACTACACAGAACAGTGACTTCTGTTCTCATTCGGAGCAAAAATAAATGGGTTTTATATACTATTACTTTCATGAAACTAAAAAGGCAAAAATAATTTACAGTTTCTTCTTTACCATGAATTAATTTTCTAGGCAGTCCACAACTTTTAATTAAGGTCCTTTATATTAACTGTAACTTGGTCTCAGTGTATGTAAATCAATTAAATTAACATCTTTATAAAAGTGGATGTCTATAAAAAGAAGCAGATTAAGGTGGCATTTCTTTGAAGTCTGAGTATGGTTTCTCTTCTCACTCCCAGCACTTGCACAAAAGGCAAATGGAAATGTGTTCAGAAATCAAGGTGTTCCTCAACGTGTAACCTGTACGGAGAAGGCCACATCACCACTTTTGATGGACAGCGCTTTGTGTTTGATGGCAACTGTGAATACATATTAGCTACGGTAACCTGGTGGTTTTGGCAGTATCTTAGCATCAAGAAATAGCTTGATTTAAATGACTAATGAAAATGTGATAGGATGTATCGATAACCAGTAGACCACTTTGGATTTTTATAGCTACTGAAAGATTTTTTGTAGAATCTGTTTATTTCAGTGCTTAAGATGAAAATATTTTACTCCTCAAACAGCTTTTTAATGCAATTAAAACCAATTTTAGATTTAATAACATGTTTAAATAGTCATTGATATATATGTATTCTGTACCAGACAACTGTATGCTTTAGGGAAGTGATGTCTGACAACCAAAGCAGAGGTCATCATCTCCCGAAGCAGGCAGAATCAGTCAGGACATTTTAAGCTTTCTTTATTTTCTTATGCTTTTATATTTTAAGTTGGAGTACTCCAGACACAGAATCTATTGGGGTTTTATGCTTTTTGTGGTTTGTTTTGGTTTTTCAGGATGGCTGCAGTATTAACAGACCTGTTTCCTCTTTCAAAATTGTTACTGAGAATGTCATCTGTGGGAAATCAGGAGTTACATGCTCCAGATCCATCAGCATTTACCTTGGGGTAAGCTCTTCCTTCTGCCACTATCCAGCTAAATAGTTACTTTAAGACCACATCGGGTGTGTGAACTGCACCACTCAGCTTGGCATCATCTGCAACTTTGCTGAGAGGGCATTTGATCCCACGGTCTGTGTCACTGATGAAAGTATTAAACTGTACTGATCCCAGGTGCCTGAGGGACACCACTCCTCACAGAGCTCCATCTGGACTTGGAGCTATTGATCACTGCCCCCTTAGATGCAATCATCTGGCTGATCCCTTACCCACCAAACAGTGCAGCCGTTAAATCTATACCTCTCCAGTTTAGAGGGGAGGCTGTTCTGGAGGGCCCTGTCAAAGGCCTTACTGAAGTCCAGATAAATGACATCTGTAGCTGTTCTCTTGTCCACTTATGTAGTCACTCTACCACAGAAGGCCACTCGGTTGGTCAGGCAAGATCTGCCCTTGGTGAAGTTGTACTGATTGTCTCAAATCACCTCCCTGTCCTCTGTGTGCCTTAACACAGCTTCTAGGAGGATCTGCTCCGTGATCTTTCCAGACACAGTGGTGATGCTGTCAGGTTAGTTGCTCCCAGGGTCCTCCTTTCTACCCTTTTAAAAAATAGGTGCAATGTTTCCCTTTTTTCTGACTGCCACGACTTTTGAAAAATGAATGGAAATGTCAAGATAGTCTGTAATAGTATCACAGGTTCTGATCTTCAGCAATGTGACACAGAGTAAGGAAAATACTGAAACTTGATAAGTTATAATTTCTAGATAAATTTTCTTCCAGAATTTGACAATCATACTGAGAGATGAAACCTTCACTATTTCTGGGGAAAATCCTAGTGTGCGATATCATGTGAAAAAGAACGCCCTTCACCTGATGTTTGATATCATTATCCCAGAAAAATACAACATGACCCTTATTTGGAATAAGCACATGAACTTCTTCATCAAGATCTCCAGAGGAACACAGGTATGGCAGAATAACTTCCTCAGCCAAGCGTCCTTCAATTCAGATTGAACTGCACATTTGATCGCAGTTGCCTCGACTCTTTATGATGGGAAAGGTTTTTCAAAAATGCTACTAGCAATTCATTTTCATCTTTATCTCCAAAACAGCAGAGTTTTTCACTAGAGGCTGATTTTAAAGTGATTTCTGTACTGCATTCAGGAAATTATTGAGCTAAATGTTTGTATTCTGTAGAACTGCATGGTTGAATTTGATCTCTAAATGATGACAGTTTGCAGTTTAGAAAACATGTTCCTCCAGTGACACACAGAACCTCATGCACAAGAAGCTTAGAATGTATGACAGAGTATTTGTAGATGACATTCACTCCTGAAGCACAAGAAGCCATCAGTAATCAAAAGGGAAGGTAACTGTAACTTGCTGAACTGACACTGCTGCTTTCATTTGTTCTAGGAAACTATATGCGGTTTGTGTGGGAACTATAATGGCAATATGAAGGATGATTTTGAAACTCGAAGCAAGTACGTGGCATCAAATGAATTGGAATTTGTCAATTCTTGGAAAGAGAATCCTCTCTGTGGGGATGTGTACTTTGTAGTGGACCCCTGCAGCAAGAACCCTTATCGTAAAGCATGGGCAGAAAAGACATGTTCCGTCATCAACAGTCAGGTTTTTTCTGCCTGTCACAATAAGGTAAGAATTTATTTGCTCCTCCTTTTACTTACAGGCATAATCTGCATTCTTCCAAAATGCTCACACTCCAACAGGCAATTTTCTGTTTCCCAAAGTATTGCAGTAAAATACATGTAAAATCTTTTATGCCTCACATTTATGTTTATTTTCATTCTTTCTTATTTGCACTTCACCAGTGTTTTTTTAAGCACAAAAGCTAAGTGTGGTATTAACTGGTTACTAGAACTATGAGAGTGAAAAAAGACTTAAGAATCAAAAATTAGTCAGTCTGTTGGTGATACCTGACCAATGCACTTACTCTTTTGAAACCATTTAGTCTTTGTTATAAAATCAAACTAAAGAAAGTCCTGAAAACCCGTGTTCTCATCAGTAAGTCAAGAGCATTACTTAGATGATCCATCCTAAAGCAAGATACCATCAACCCTCCTATTTGTTTTAAGTTGTCCACTTTGTGGAAATGAAAATATCACAAGGGTCATCAGGAACAGGCCTTCTGAAGGGAAATCCCCATTTTCAGGAGGTGAAAACAAGTGAGAAATGGGGATAATGCTGCAGTGTTTATGTATGCACACAGAGGCTGTACAGCTGAAGAACTTAGATACTTGTGCCTAAATGGATGTGGGGATTTGAGGAGGTTTTTTAAACTAACTAACATAATATGTTCAGTACCAGTATAAATTTAGAAATACATACCAGGCAAAACATCATCAGTTTCTGTTGTTGATATGGATACACCTGATTCTGGCTAAAAAGATCTGTATGATGTGGGGTTATAATTTCTTTAACAAGTGTTCAGATGAAATACTAGTTATTCTCACTTAGTGGAGAATAAAAAAAAAAATCTTCTTAACAAATTGGCACAAAATAATCTTAGAAAATTCATCCCTTCATTTTGCAATGCAGGTGAATCGGATGCCCTATTATGAGGCCTGTGTTCGAGACTCTTGTGGGTGTGACATTGGAGGGGACTGTGAATGCATGTGTGATGCCATTGCAGTGTATGCCATGGCATGTTTAGAGAAAGGTATCTGCATTGACTGGAGGACCCCCGAGTTCTGTCGTAAGTTCCTTTAAGTTCTCCTTAAACAGCGTAAGAGATTATTATTGTTGTTGTGGGTATATTCATATGACAATGTAAGAAAATTATTAATAAGCGCCTCAAAGGTTACATTTTCTCTGTGGGCAAATACTTGACTCCAGTCACCTGGATTTTGAAATCTGTACTTTTCATTTGTGCTAAATTAACCAAAATATTATAACTCTTTTTACCATGAGGAGAAACTAATGTGGTCACAGAAAGCAGACTCTTTCTTCTACTGCCACTGTATAGTGCACTGTCAATTTGCCAGCAGAGAAAGCACGAAATGGTAAAAAAATATATTTCATTTTACCTACAGTATAAAAAAATATATTTCATTTTAGCTACAATGAATCTACAATCCGTCTGTGTGGATGTCAAGGAAATGAAGACAGCTGTGTTGGCTGGAACACTGTAAAACAGGAAAAAGATATCAAGGTGTTCCAGAACACTCTATATAGAAGGGAAAAAAGTGTGAGCTTCTTATGAGTCAATGCTAGAGTTGTCATCTTTGACGGTTTCTTTTCCACATTTCACTACATTGTGTATTAAAAATTGTGGAAATGCTTGCATACTGCATTTGCAAAAAAGAAACTGCCTTCACTGAGTTAAAATATAAATTTACATCAGAAGCTGATAACTTCAGTGAATTTTTTATTATTTTGTTAGTACTTTAAAAATACCATGACATTAAGTTGAAAAAGTATCTGATTTCTGTCTTGCTTTTACTTTTTTTAGCTGTCTATTGTGAGTACTACAATTCTCATAAAAGAAGAGGAGTTGACAATGCTTATTCCTCTGGCTACAATGATGACAAGTGCACCTGGCATTACAGGCCCTGTAACTGCCCAAATCAAAACTACAAATATGTCAACATTGAAGGTAATGAGCTCTACTACTCTAAACCAGGGAACACTAACACAATAATTATTTTCAATACTGTTTTTTAAATTAGTCATACCACAGTTAAATAATGGTATTCTAATTGATGCTATCTTTGAAGCAGTTTTGCTGATCCTTCCCTTACTACTGCAGTTTTAAAACACATCATCAACTCAGGAGCTGTTCTACAACTAGCCTTATACTGAGCTCAGCCTATCTGGAAGAGAAATTCTGACTTGCACCAAATCAAAAGAATACACTGTACTTAGGGATGAAAACGTGGAGAGAGCAGTTAATATTTTTATTAAACAAATGCATATAGCTGGAGAAACCAAAAAAATTCCTACGTAGGCAGACACTCTTTCTGAGGATGACATTGGAAATACTTACCTGAATAGATGATGTTGCAACTGATACTGCTTTTTAATAGCAGAGATGTAATATATTAGATACTAAACAGTATCAATTAAATGCCTTTTTCTGAGAAATGTAAAACAAACTTCTCTTTCCCTTTCTTCAGGTTGTTACAACTGCTCTCATGATGAATACTTTGACCATGAAAAGAACTTGTGCGTGCCATGTGGTAAGCAGCAGAAATATCTCAGAGATATTTAACTTTTTTCATCAAAAAAGAGAACATTTAGGAGAAGATCAGACTTAGCTAATGGACTCTACTTAGCAAATCTCTTTGGAGATTTTCTTTTTAAATTAACTTAAGATTTATTGCCATATTGTTTACTTCTGTGAAAACCTATCTTATTAAACAATGTTTTGGATAGACTCAAGCTGCACAGTTTGGACTTTCACGCAGATGTAAGAAAAACTTCAGGACAATTTTTTTCATATTACAAAATTCTAACTTGTGTAACCAGAATCTCAGCTAGTGATCTCTTTACGTACAAAACCACGTTCCATTTTCCCTGAAGAGTGAGGTGCCCTTAAGCATAAAAGTCATAAGGAAGATAGCAAAACTTACTAGTGTTCATAATTATTTTGAGATGTATTGATTTCTTTGTAATTAAGTCCTTTGATACGAATTTTACCACTGAAATACATAATATTAAACACTTCCAGGAATCCCTCAATAATTAACATAATCCTTTGAATCCAATCTGAAATTTGCCTTATTTGCAATATTCTAATGTGGTTTTTTTTCACAAACTTAACCTGTTCTACCTTTACACAACAGGAGAAGAAAGCACTAGTACCACTACTGAAACATCTTCACCTTCACCAGGTTAGTTAACACAGTTGACCAAACTAATATTTACATACTGATATCATGTCCTGATAAGTGTTTACAAAGTCAGTGATATCCTTTTTTGCATTTTATGGTAGCATCACCAGTTTCACGGGCAGGAGATGCAATGATGAAAAATGACCTGGCACCATAATATGCTGGGCTGCATCAAAAGCAGAGTGGCTGACAGGTCAAGGGAGGTGATTTTGCCCCTCTGCTCTGATGAGAGCCCTCCTGGAGTGCTGTGGAGTCCTCAGTTCCAGGCAGTGGATGGTCAGAAGGATGATCAGAGGGTTGTAACACCTCTCCTGTGAGGAAAGGCTGAGAAACTTGGTGTTGTTCAGCCTGGAGAAGAGAAGGCTCCAGGGAGACCTCGTTGCAGCCTTTCAGTACTTGAATGGGGCTTATAAGAAAGATGGGGACAGACTTTTTAGTAGGGCCTGTTGTGATGGGACAAGGGGTAACTAGAAGAGAGTAGATTCAGAGTAGATATAAGGAAGAAATTGTTTATTATGAGGGTGGTAAAACAGTGGAAGAGGTTGCCCAGAGAGGCTGTAGATGCCCCATCCCTGGAAGCGTTTAAGAGCAGGCTGGACTGGGCTTTGAGCAACCTGATCTAGTTGAAGACGTCCCTGCTCACTGCAGAGTGACTGACCATATAGCACTTCAAAAACTTAAGTCTTCATGGAAATATATTACTGACTATACCAAATCCTTATAGCCTGATATAGGAAAGGGACCTATATACGATGATCTTAAATTTGTTAGAAATTCATTAATTTCCCTGAAGATAGATGGTGTTGGAAAACATTACACTGTGGGTTGTGTGGATAATAAAATACTATTCCATTTCTGCTGCTGTGCACAAGTATTTATGCCAAATTCACTTTAAAGTGAAGGAAAAGGTATAAAGCTTCTGCATGAATACCTGTTTAATGTATTCACTGCACATAATAGCAAAGGAAGCAATGGATAACTGCTCTCAAAGGCTTCATCTAAAAGGCTTCATCTAAAAGGTGCTAATAGTAGTTACTGCTAATAGTCATAAAAACAGTGGTTTTACTTTAAAAAAATTCAATTCATATAGGTGCATTATAAATAGGTCATAGGGGACCATTTCTTATCCTTTAATTTTGATTTTTTTCTCTTAGTAACAACAGTGCAGCCTAAAGTAACAAGAAGCTCTGCCACAAGCACCCTACCAACCGTACCTAGTACTTCTTCTGCAACTGCTATATCAACTGAGATTACAAATCCAACAATAACTGCAAAAATTACAGTTCCCAGAACTTCACCCATACAACCTCTTGTCACAATAAAGTCAACAACTGGTAGGTTTTTAGTGTTACTGTCTCAAATAAATCACAGTAAGCTCACTCTATACATAATTGAGATACCACTTCCTAGAAAAGCATTGCAAACTCGTACATGCTTGCAAGCATTAGACTCCAAGTTGTGAGGTAGCCAAAACAGGCTTCCAGAAAGGAGTTTATAAACCAGAAATGTTCAGAAGTGTAGATCAAAAGTGCATGGAAAGATAAAGGATATAGACACTAGGTTAAAAACATAACCAAAAGTCACTTGTGTGACTCATCTGAGAAGCACATTACAAGTTCTATAAGCAGTGAGCCAGCCCAGATCCAGTTAGATTTATTAGCTCAGCTTCAGCTTCTTTGCCACAGCTGGTTCAGTTATGCAGTCATATTCAAGGAGCAACCAATCTGTTAACTCTGAATAATGTAAGCAAGCCCAAAGCAGATTCACACAGGTATTAGTGTAGCAGCTTTGTCTAGGCTTCTAGAGTCCTGCTCTCAGGAGGATGACTCTGCCAACATAAATTACTTTCTGATTCTATGGCTCATTTAGCCTCACACCAACATGCACTTCAGCTAATTAACCATCTTGCACCCTGGCTATCAGGAAAAGCAGAGTTAAAAATAGGTCCCAAAGGATTCGAAACACAGCTTCAAAAGCTGACATTGTGACAGATAATTCAGGCACTGGGACAAGAAAGTCCTATAGTATAATGTTATTTAACTTTTTAATATGAATTACAGAAAGCTAAAACTGTGGCTGATTTGGAACATAATAGTAGCCAATGAAACTGTGATTTGGGCAAAGCCTACACAGACTGCAGCCAATAAGTGACAGCAAAGCTAACTTCTTACAAAAATATATTTAAAAAAATCTAGTACAGGAAAACCACAGAAAAATGAGAGCAAGGATAGACATGAGACAATAGAAAACAAATATAAGTACAGAAATATTTGACAAGCTTTTGAGAACATGAGTGCAACAATGACGCTGAAAATGTTCAAAAGATCAAGGTGAAAAAGGGTCTCTGAAATATGGGTATTTTCTTCCTAATTTATCTATTTTTAATTATTCTATGAATTGATTACTCACATTGTACTATTTACCTTTACTCCAAAAGAGCATACAACATCAATTTCTACCACACTGAAAATGACTACAACCATCACTACTCCTTCCGTAACTACCACAACAAAGAGAACCATGACCACTATACCAAAGTCTACGCCTGCTGCCTCATCAACCGCTGCTTCAACAGAGACAGAGCAAGTAAAGGTCACCTCACCACCCTTCAAGACCACTATCAAAAAGGAAATTACAACCTCCTCGCTACCTACTCAAACCTTGTCTCAGAGCATAACTTTCAGCAAGCCTAAACTAACAACAGCAGGTAAACACTTTTGATATCTGTCTGGCGAAGCCATCACTCACAGGACATATGTCAATGTATTACTTCATAAAAAAACCCCAAGCATTCTTACTAGTGGTCTTAACATTGCAGATAGATAGGAAAGGACATGGATAACTGAAGAAGCGTGATTGAAATGGAAATTTGTCTTGCCAATGGAGCAAGCATTTGACATCCAAATATGATCTTAAACCTCAACATTTCTCTTCCAACACTTCCTCCAAATTTAGACAAAATCTCTCCATGTCTCAAGGCAAGTTCTTGAAAACCCACAGACCACAGAATACATATTCCCCCTAGCCAATGTAACAAATACTCCCAACAATAAATATTAAATAAAAGGATTTTGGTTTTTTTTCTGGCACTCAGTATACCAACAAAGACAGTCTCCTCTGAGGCTGTATGGCAACATGAATTACTAGGTTAGCAACTGACACCAGAGGCTTTGACAGTGTATGGTGGGAATTCTGCTGTAGAGGGAGGGCAGGTGTACACTCTCCCAATCCATGTGTCTCCCACAAAGTACTGTAGGGGTGCATACATCTAGGGCTCCTTGTGTCAGCAATCACAGCTTCCTCTAGGAACCTTTCCAGACATTACTAATATTTATTCTTACTTACCTTACAGAGAGTGAGGGAATCTCAGCAACCACTCTGCACCAACCAGAAGGTAAGAGAGAATAGACAGATGCCCTTGGCCTAAGACTCTGCTTCACTTACTCCAGCTTTTTCAGGTGATATTCTTGCCCAGTCTGGAATGCCTGGGAGAGGAAACATGCATATCCAGAGAGGCTCTTTTCTGAGGATCTTCAGAATAAGGCAGGGGGTGCTGAATTGTCAGAGGGCACACTTCAGGCCCAGTTTTGCCCCATATTTTTTGAGGGGAAAGCCATTGACCTGTTTTTCCCTCTTGCCCAGTAAGACTCAGTGGGGTCTAGTTCTGTCTTTCTTACCTGTACCCCATTACCTGGGGGTTCTGCCTGGGAATTTTCTACCTCCTTTGCCTTCTGTTCTTGCCCTGCCACCTCCAATCAAGTTGTGCTTTTCTCTCGGTAGTTGTCACCCACATAAGAACATGGACACAGCCTGTGCAGCATCTCGTCACACAGACACAGACCACCCCTGCCACATCCACCAGCAGCACAACTCCAAGCCCGAGCTCTTTGCCTGCCACCTCAGCCTCATCTGCTTCTTCCCTCTCCTCAACTGTGTCCTCGACACAGCTGGGAACATCACATCCTGGTAAGGCTCCCTCCTGCCCATCCTGCTGCTCCATCTGCTTCTTCCAGCTCCCACCATTTCTCCTAGGCAGCATGTCCCACACAGGCCTCAGTTTTGGTATTTGTTCTCAGCTCCCACTGTTATTCCCATGGGACACCAGCAGGTCATGCGACTGACCCACACATGACCCTGACTACATCCTCCTCCCTCTCCAATTCAGGGGTTTGGCTCTGAGGCACAGGCCTTTATCAGGGTACAGACATCCATGAGTTCCTGCCCTAAAACTGCCGATCACATGCAAGCTAACACACGCCTCCCTCTTCTTATAGTGGTGCCCTGAGTGCACAGTGGGGCATTGGGGGAAAAAAAGTAGTGAAGCTGGAAATGCATCTCAAGTTTGCAGCTCAGGACAGTTTTGGGTGAGAGACGTAACCCAAGCCATCATCTCCAGCCAAAGGATGCCCAGACCCTGGCACACCCATGAAAAGTGTGGTTCAGCAAATACCATCTCACTGACCAATGCTGACCCTGAGTGCTAAAGAGTTGTAAGTGGAGGGCCATGAAGAAAGTGTATGCTCAACTCCACACTAAAGTTCTCATAGACACATTCACATACCTGAGTTGTCTTAGTGTTGATCCTCTTTTGAGGAGATGCCACAACATACTTTGTCTACAATCCTTCCTAAGACTCAACCAATCTTTTCTCTCATCCAGTTCTTTGTAGCAGGGGAGCCAACCACAGATAATACACCAACTAGTGAAGTAGTAACAGATGAGTACTCTGGTCATGAGGTAGATAGGAGTCATTCATGGCCAGTGCATCCATGTCGCAGTAGCCACAGCTTCCAATGGATCCTTACCAGCACAGTCTACACCATGTAAATTTTAAACTAAAAGTAAACAAGTGAATATTGCACTTGAAAGTAGAGATACCTCTTCCCAACTCAGTAGTTCCAGGAAGAAGAAGATAAGAAACAAATTCCTAGAGGTCAGTCTTCAAAATGGTCTGCAGCAAATGAACAAATATCAAATGACGCAGGGCATGATGGGACATATTAAAGGTAACAAAGACTTTTGTTCGACGTCAAAAAAAAAACCCAAACAAAAAAAACCAACCAAACAAAAATGAATTACTGGGGCCACAGGCTCCCATCCTGACCCATAGCCCAGCACAAAGCCTCCAAACTAGAACTGTAGACGTCACCCAACTTCTCATTAAATCAGCAACACAAAACTGACCTGTGCTTTCCTCCCAACAGCCTTCACCCATAAAAGGTCAACCGAGCCGCACATTGAGCCCCCTCTGACCACACACAAGACCACGGCCTCCACCTCCATCAGCAGCACCTCCAAGACCTCTGTCTCCACAGAGACCAGCCCACCAAGCAGCACAGAACTCCCTCTGGCAACAACATCTCCAAATCCCAGCTCTTCGCCTGCCCCCAGCAGCCCACTCAGCACCCGGCTGCCATCTGCTCCCACTTCCACACTCTATTCCACAGCAGCTCCAAGCACCAGCCCCACGCCTACACCCACAACCCTGAGGCCCAAGCCCTCTTCCCCCTTGACAAGTGCTCCACAAGAGTCTCCTACAACAGAGTCCTCTGCACCCACCACAGCCAAAACCAGCACAGTGCCATCGCCTGCTCCTTCTGCCTCTTCAACTGTGTCCTCAACATGGATGAGTTCCTCACAGCCTGGTAAGACTCACTCCTTTGTGTCCGACCGCGTCTGCTTACTCTCCCTTTTCCTTTTTTCATTTCTAGCTGTGCAGGTCCCTTGCACTGTTGTTTCACTTTTTGCTCTCCATTCCATCTTGTTTTCGCACTGGCACTGTAGTGTGTCCTCAGTTGGGTATTGCCATGAGGCACTGTTCTCTCCCACATAACCAGGCCTTTGAATCTCAGAGTCAGCCATCCATAGACTCTGCCTATTCTATGAAGGCATAAATATGCATATGCAGAAAAGATCCTTTTCAAGGAAGAGGCAAAGGGATCTTTCCTGTTAGGTGGCATCCTGTCTTTTTTCTCTCTTTTTCAAGGAGAAACCAGACAGCAGCTTGTGGACTGGGATTGTGGTTCCAGTCCTCCCTTTTTCACAGGAATAATCAGTGTAGTACAGCGCTGCCATTTTTGCTTATGCTCACAGTACAGGGCTCTGAGCTTAACCTCCTTTGCCTTCCCCTCCAACCTCATCCTCACTTGCCCCTCCTTTTCTCCCAACAGCCTTCACCCATAAAAGGTCAACCGAGCCACACATTGAGCCACCTCTGACCACACACAAGACCACGGCCTCCACCTCCATCAGCAGCACCTCCAAGACCTCTGTCTCCACAGAGACCAGCCCACCAAGCAGCACAGAACTCCCTCTGGCAACAACATCTCCAAATCCCAGCTCTTCGCCTGCCCCCAGCAGCCCACTCAGCACCCGGCTGCCATCTGCTCCCACTTCCACACTCTATTCCACAGCAGCTCCAAGCACCAGCCCCACGCCTACACCCACAACCCTGAGGCCCAAGCCCTCTTCCCCCTTGACAAGTGCTCCACAAGAGTCTTCTACAACAGAGTCCTCTGCACCCACCACAGCCAAAACCAGCACAGTGCCATCACCTGCTCCTTCTGCCTCCTCCACTGTGTCCTCAACAAGGATGAGTTCCTCACAGCCTGGTAAGACTCCCCCAACCTGTCCCACTGCTACTACCTGCTCTCCCTTTTCTCTTCTTTTCTAGGAGTTCAGACTACTCTTACTTTTTTTTTTTTTTGTAAATTGGTCACCATTCCCACTTCTTTTAGCATCCTCAATGTGCTATGCCTGTCCTGTGCTATTGCCCTGGGGCAGTGGTCTCTCCTATGTAGCCTGCCCTCAGAAGCTCGGAGTCAGTAGTCCATAGACTCTGCCTCTTCCTTGAAGGGAGTCATGCACATCTGGAAAGGGTCCTCTTCCAGGAAGAAGCAGAGCGATCTTGCCTGTAGGAAAGCACCCTGTCCTTTTTGACTCTTTTAGGAGAGAAAACAAATTCAGCTTTTAGGCTAAACCCACAATCCCAGGAGTCACTCTTTCACAGGAATACTTGGTGTAGTCCAGTTCTCATGCTGTCCGTACAAGGCACTTTGCCCACCTCCTTTGCCTCACCCTCCTACCCTCATCCCCAGCTGACCTGTGCTTTCCTCCCAACAGCCGTCACCCATAAAAGGTCAACTGAGCCGCACATTGAGCCCCCTCTGACCACACACAAGACCACGGCCTCCACCTCCATCAGCAGCACCTCCAAGACCTCTGTCTCCACAGAGACCAGCCCACCAAGCAGCACAGAACTCCCTCTGGCAACAACATCTCCAAATCCCAGCTCTTCGCCTGCCCCCAGCAGCCCACTCAGCACCCGCCTGCCATCTGCTCCCACTTCCACACTCTATTCCACAGCAGCTCCAAGCACCAGCCCCACGCCTACACCCACAACCCTGAGGCCCAAACCCTCTTCCTCCATGACAAGTGCTCCACAAGAGTCTTCTACAACAGAGTCCTCTGCACCCACCACAGCCAAAACCAGCACAGTGCCATCGCCTGCTCCTTCTGCCTCCTCCACTGTGTCCTCAACATGGCTGAGCTCCTCACAGCCTGGTAAGACTCACTCCTTTGTGTCCCACTGCTCACAGAATTCCAGAATTCTTAGGGTTTTAAGGGGGCCTCTGGACATCATCTAGTCCAACACCCCTGCTAAAAAAGGGGTCTCTTAGTGTTGGTTGTGCTAAGAGAATGCATCCAGATGGGTTTTGAATGTCTCCAAAGAGGGAGTTTCCACAATCTCCCTGGCGAGGCTGTTCCACTGCTCTGCCATCCTCAGTGTAAAGAAGTTGTTCCTTGGGTTAATTAAACCTTTTGTGTTTTAGTTTATTTTAGTCCCTTGTCCTGTTGCTGGGTGCCAACATGAAAGTGTCAACATCCACTTTGCATCTGCCTTTGAGATACTAGTATACAATGATGAGATCCCCTCTCAGTCTTCTCTACTCTAGACTCAACAGGCCTATCAACAGTCTGTCCAAATATGAAAGATGCTAGAATCCATTGATCATTTTTGTGTGCCTCTTCTACACATCTTGTGTCTGCTTTTCCCAGCTCCCTCCATCCCTTTTCCACCCCCTCCCTGCTGTTTTCCCTTCCTTCTACTCTCCTTCCCTCCCTGCCTCCCTCCTTTCCTTACCTTTATCCTTCCATCTAAGAACCACATCTCACTTGGGCATTTGTTTGGGTGTTGGGCCCCCCATTCCCACTGCTTTTGGCCAGCCTCATTCCAGATGAAGTCCTGGGCAGTGACTCTGCTTGGGGTGGAGCCAATTTCTGTTCCTAGCAGGGTTCCTGGTGCTGTGTTTTAGCTGTGGGTCTGAGCCAGTGTTGATGGCACACAAATGCTTTGGTGATTGCTGAGGAGTGCTAGCACAGCATCCAGGCCACCAGTGTTTCTCCTCCTGCCAACCAGGGAGTGGGCAAGGAGTGGCCAGGGCAGTTTTATGGAAGTAGCCATTGCTTGGAGACTGGCTGGGCATTGGCCAGCAGAGTGAGGCAGTGAGTGACTGCCATTGCACCTCATGGGTGGGTCTGGGTCCATTTTTCCTTTAGTTTCTTCACTTCTGAAAATTGCTTCTATCCTGAAAAGTGTGGGTATTGATGCTTTGGCCTCTTCACTTCTATTCCCATGTCTGATGAGTGGCAGTGAGTGAGTGGCTGGGTAGGCACTTTGCATGCAGCCAGGTCACACCACCATCACCTGGCATACACTTAGACAGGATCTAAGCAGGACATGGAGGCTTCAGAAAGGAGCCAGAAGCCCAATCTTCCATCTTGGACAAAGAGACTCAGTGTGATATGGACTTGTTTTTCTTACCCAACGCATTAGACAAGGCTTCTGCCCACCTCCTCTGCCATCCCCTCTTTCCCTCTTCCCCAGCTGACCTGTGCTTTCCTCCCAACAGCCTTCACCCATAAAAGGTCAACCGAGCCGCACATTGAGCCCCCTCTGACCACACACAAGACCACGGCCTCCACCTCCATCAGCAGCACCTCCAAGACCTCTGTCTCCACAGAGACCAGCCCACCAAGCAGCACAGAACTCCCTTTGGCAACAACATCTCCAAATCCCAGCTCTTCGCCTGCCCCCAGCAGCCCACTCAGCACCCGCCTGCCATCTGCTCCCACTTCCACACTCTATTCCACAGCAGCTCCAAGCACCAGCCCCACGCCTACACCCACAACCCTGAGGCCCAAGCCCTCATCCCCCATGACAAGCACTCCACAAGAATCTTCTACAACAGAGTCCTCTGCACCCACCACAGCCAAAACCAGCACAGTGCCATCACCCGCTCCTTCTGCCTCCTCCACTGTGTCCTCAACATGGCTGAGCTCCTCACAGCCTGGTAAGCCTGCCTGCTACATGTCCTGCTGTTTCTGCCTGCTCTCCCTTTTTCCACCTTCATTTCTAGCTGTGCAGGTCCCTTGCACTGTTGTTTCAGTTTTTGCTCTCCATTCCCAGTCCTTTCCACATCAGCACTGTGGGATGGCTGTCCTTTGCTATGGCCAGAGGGCACATGACTCTGCCATGTACCTTGTCGTGCCTATCTCTAAGGTGGATAGTCCTTATGCTCTGCCCATTCCTTGAAGGAAGAGGCATGTAAATCCAGAAATGATACTTTCTAGGAAGAGGCAGAGGTTAGGAAGGCACCCTGTCCATTTTCTCCCTTTCTGGGGAAGGAACCAGGTAGCAGCTTGTTGACAGGAGCCACAGTCCCAGACCTCCCTCTTTCAGAGGAATAATCAGTACAGGACAGCACTGCACTCTTTGCTTGTTTTTCAAGTGTGTGGATTGTGCCCTCCTGCTTTACCTTCACCTCTTGCTCTCACTCTCATTGAACCTGTATATTCCTTCCAACAGCCATCACCCATAAAAGGTCAACCGAGCCGCACATTGAGCCACCTCTGACCACACACAAGACCACGGCCTCCACCTCCATCAGCAGCACCTCCAAGACCTCTGTCTCCACAGAGACCAGCCCACCAAGCAGCACAGAACTCCCTCTGGCAACAACATCTCCAAATCCCAGCTCTTCACCTGCCCCCAGTAGCCCACTCAGCACCCGGCTGCCATCTGCTCCCACTTCCACACTCTATTCCACAGCAGCTCCAAGCACCAGCCCCACGCCTACACCCACAACCCTGAGGCCCAAGCCCTCTTCCCCCTTGACAAGCACTCCACAAGAGTCTTCTACAACAGAGTCCTCTGCACCCACCACAGCCAAAACCAGCACAGTGCCATCGCCTGCTCCTTCTGCCTCCTCCACTGTGTCCTCAACATGGCTGAGCTCCTCACAGCCTGGTAAGACCCACTCGTTTGTGTCCCACTGCTTCTGCCTGCTCTCTCTTTTCAGTTCTTCTTTTCTCGGAGTGCAGACCACTTGCACATTTCTTTTGAATTTGCACTCCATTCCCACTTCTTTTAGCATCCTCAGTGTGCTCTGCCTGTCTTGGCTATGGCCCTGTGGCACTGGTCTAGCCCCTGTAGCCTGGCCTCATTGGCTCAGACTCAGCAGTCCTTAGAGCCTACCTATTCACTGAAGGGTGACATGCACATCTGGATAGGACACTTTTCCAGGAAGAGGCAGAGCGAAGTTTCCTGTTGGAAGGCACCCTGTCCTTTTCCCTTTTTTTTTTATAGGGGATAATAAACACAGCTTTTAGGGAGAAGCCACAACCCCAGTTCTCCCACTTTACCAAGAATATTTGTGCAGCCCAGAGCTACCATTTTTACTCATGCTTCCAGTTCAAGACTTATAACCATCTCCTTTCCCTTCCCCTCTTTCCCTCATCCCCAACTGACCTGTGCTTTTCCTCCCAACAGCCTTCACCCATAAAAGGTCAACCGAGCCACACATTGAGCCACCTCTGACCACACACAAGACCACGGCCTCCACCTCCATCAGCAGCACCTCCAAGACCTCTGTCTCCACAGAGACCAGCCCACCAAGCAGCACAGAACTCCTTCTGGCAACAACATCTCCAAATCCCAGCTCTTCGCCTGCCCCCAGCAGCCCACTCAGCACCCGGCTGCCATCTGCTCCCACTTCCACACTCTATTCCACAGCAGCTCCAAGCACCAGCCCCAGGCCTACACCCACAACCCTGAGGCCCAAACCCTCTTCCCCCTTGACAAGTGCTCCACAAGAGTCTCTTACAACAGAGTCCTCTGCACCCACCACAGCCAAAACCAGCACAGTGCCATCGCCTGCTCCTTCTGCCTCCTCCACTGTGTCCTCAACATGGCTGAGCTCCTCACAGCCCGGTAAGCCTGCCTGCTACATGTCCTGCTGCTCAAAGAATCCCAGACTTGTTATGGTTGGAAGGGACCTCTGGACATCATTATCTGCCTGCCAAGAAGGTGTCTCTTAGTGCAGGTTAGACTGGAATGTGTCCAGATGAGTTTTGAATGTCTCCAGAACAGGAGATACCACATTCTCCATGGGGAGAGAGCCTGTTCCACTGCTCTGCTCCTCTCAATGTATAGACATTGTTCCTCATGTTGAGTAGAATTTCTTGTGCTTTATTCCATGGCCATTGCTCCTTGTTCTGTCACTGGGCACCACCAAAAAAAGTCTGCCTCCATGCTCTTGGCACCTGCCTTTAAGATATTTGTATCCAATGATGAGATCCCAGCTCAGCCTTCTCTTCTCAGGATTCAACAGGTCCAGCTCCCCAGGTCTCTCCACTGATCATGTTTATGTGTCGCCTTTGGTCCACTGATCATCTTTGTATTTCTCCTCTGGACCTCATCTGCCTGCTTTTCCCAGCTCCCTCCATTGCTCCCTCCCTTCGTTGCTTGCTCTGGCCCTCCATCCCTCCCTTCTTTCTCTCCTTCCTTGTATCCTTCCATCTAAGAACCACATCTCACTTGGGCATTTGTTTGGGTGTTGGGCCCCTCATTCCCACTGCTTTTGGCCAGCCTCATTCCAGATGAAGTCCTGGACAATGACTCTGCTTGGGGTGGAGCCAATTTCTGTTCCTAGCAGGGTTCCTGGTGCTGTGTTTTAGCTGTGGGTCTGAGCCAGTGTTGATGGCACACAAATGCTTTAGAGATTGCTGAGGAGTGCTAGCACAGCATCCAGGCCACCAGTGTTTCTCCTCCTGCCAACCAGGGAGTGGGCAAGGAGTGGCCATGAGGTCATTCAGGAACACAGCCAGCATAGCCCAAAGCCAGTGGCCAAGGAGACACTCCATGCCACAGAAAGTCACACTGAGCAGTGCAATGGAGGGGCAGGGCAGTTTTTGGAAGTAGCCATTGCTTGGAGACTGGCTGGGCATTGGCCAGCAGAGTGAGGCAGTGAGTGACTGCCATTGCACCTCATGGGTGGGTCTGGGTTCGTTTTTCCTTTAGTTTCTTCACTTCTGAAAATTGCTTCTACCCTGAAAAGTGTGGGTATTGATGCTTTGGCCTCTTCATTTCTATTCCCATGTCTGAGGAGTGGCAGTGAGTGAGTGGCTGGGTAGGCACTTTGCATGCAGCCAGGTCACACCACCATCACCTGGCACACACATTGGCCATGACAGGATCTAAGCAGGCCATGGAGGCTTCAGAA